TTGGTTGCGACCGGACCGGTGTAGGTGTCTTGGCCATCGGGCGACACGTGGGTGTAGCACTGGTACTTGTTTACGTTCACCGACGGAGGCTGTTGCAACGACGTTTCCCTCGAAGGTCCTGTTGTGTATACAGGACAGTGTTGGTTCCATCGGATACCGGTTGTGACAGATCCGGTGTCGGTACTTTGCCATCGGGCAGTACGGAGGTGTAGCGCTGCTACGTGTTTGCTAATTCCAGACGGGCTGTGTTGCGACGCCCCCGTCGAAGACCTTATCAAGGGTATAAGGTGTAACAGGCGCTTCGCGAGCATTGGATTTACGACCCATGGGGCCCGGCTTCCTAATTACCGCCCCGAACTCGCCAAGCAACTGCCTGTACAAGACTGTACCACCATCCGTTCCGGGGCGGGCCTTTTCCTTTTGCTCTCCCCTGTCAGGGACTTGAGCTACTGTGGGCCGCAAACCCACTTAAAGGGACAGGGAGAATCGGACACTCCGTAGGGCTGTGCCGTCGGCAACTCTTGTTGGTTGTTGGTTGTGTTGTCGCTGGACCGTTGGACCCTGGTTCCGGCCTGACAGGCACATTGCACTACATAAGTGGTCTCCCGACCTAGAATCTGGAAACTACGAAGAGAAGTCGGAAATAGGTAAATTATTTCGATAGGTCTCGTTTATTAAGAGCGGACCATGGCATCAAGCCAACCCAAGGACGTCGGTTCTGAGGTCAGAAGAGCTGGATCAGCTCAAGAGTCGAAGATTCCGCGAGGACCTCGTACACGTAGCCAAGGAAATTCGGCTACTGATCCAGTTGCAGAAGCGTCCCCTTCGGGGACGGCCGTTGAGAAAGACGCCCTGGAAGAGAAGTTCGAAAAATTGAGCGAGGAGATTCCTCAGGAGACGAAGAACAAGCTCGACGAACTTCTGGGTATTTTTCAGAAGCAACAGGAGTTGCTAAAACCCGAGTTCCACGCTGCGCTTGAAGAGCTGACTGCCCGTGTGGTTCTCGTTGAGAATTTAGGTACCGATGCGTCCCCGGGCCGAGATCCGGAAGTGCTGGATTCGCTAAAGCTCGCCACGAAAGAAGCGCTGCGAGACGCTAATCAGGCCCTGGAAACGCTGGCCAGGACCAGGAACCTCGATTGACAACTTGCGAGTTTTGGCTCGCCTCGCCTCGTCACTTCCAAAGGGCAAGTCCTTTGGCAACCCTTCCGTCTGAGCTGACGGGCGCGACACTTCTCTCGTGATAGCTTGTCCCATCTCTATTCTGCCTGCGTGACGCTGAATTTGCGACATCGTCATGTCGCCTTTGATCCGTAAATTGAATCTTCCTGCGTGCTCCTTCGTCCCTTCGTTCCCTTCTCATTTTCTCATTCATGCCCACCCCGTCATAATCACGGTGGCACCCTTATACCTCCTTCCTCCTTCTCTTCACCTCGCTATCTCCTCCTCTTTTACATTTTTCTTGGCGCTCTCTCCCCGTTATGATCACAGTAGTGCCCTCATATTTTCTCCTTCCTTCTCTTCTCCTATCCCTTTTCCTTCTCTTTTTTTCGTGCGCCCCCGCTTTCCTTCTCTTGAACCTGTCGCTCTCCCATGTCGATTTTCCTGTGAAAATCGACATCACAGGGGTGCAGAGATCGCACACATTCCGATCGCCTAGTAGGGGAGTTCCTGCAGCCCCCTTTCTCCTTGCACTCCCAATTCTCGATGATGACCCCCGGAAAAAATAAAAATAAAAACAAAAGAGAAACAGGATGGGCTGGCCTTCGAACGTGGCAGAGGTTCAATCCTCCTTGCCACGCACCCGTGTCCGTCATCCAGGGAAATGCCTTGAGTCACAGTGTCCTGTTCGGCTAATAAAACTCTGGTGTTCTGGCATCGGGAAGTTGAATCACGAAGCCAATTGCGTCTCCCTTGAAAGTATATCTCCAATCAATCCTCGAGCGGCTCTTTGCGATGCGGAATAGTCGTTGACCAAGCCCCGGGGAGGGGCGTCCTGAAATTCACCTTTGGAAGTTTGGCGCTTCCATGTTGCGTCCCCATCCATGATGCATGCGTGTAATTTTCCTTCTCTTATTTTTCCCTACTCTTTTCCATCCTTGCCGCATGACGGACGTCTCCTTTTTCTTGATACCAGGCCCTCGTGTGACCTCTTCCTCTTCTTTAATCTCAGTGCACGTCCCTTTCCTTCCTCCTTTTAGGACATGATCCCTTTCCTTCCTCCTTTTAGGACGTGATCCCCCCGTTTGGGAGGGTTATTCTCACAGTCCCGCGGGAGGTCTACTCCTTGATCGCTTTGACATGTCGCTCCCCCACGTAAGCGGAGGGGAAATAAATAAATAGACAATCGAAGCATGAACTGTAGAACGAAAATGAAAGAAATGCGAAAGGAAGTGAGGTGGGTCCTCCATGACGAAACGCTCGTGGTTGGAAATAACGACAGGAAAGACATGAGCCGGACGTCGTCAGATGCTAAAAGCAAGGATTGGGCTATTAGTGACAAGCCCATTGAGCGACGCTTTCTCTCCTTGGGAGTTGATCTCCCCTCGGTGGTCCTCCTGTGTGTTCGTGGTAGAGCGTGGCGCGACGTTCTCAATCGCCTCATCAAATGAAGACCTCAAGACCCTTCTCACTGAAGCGGGCCTTGTCGATCCACTTTCTTTCTTCCCTTTTCGGTTTTCTATTTTTCTTTCTCAACAAGGGAACTGTGTTGCGAGAATAAATGTTCGCGGTCGGGGACAGGACAAGTATGGTCTTCCTGAGCGAAGATGCTAACCTGATTGTCGGCGGTAATGCCGACCTTGTGTTACCTTTGCTCGTGCAGAAGGACGCTCTCGCTCATTGATCGTCACTAGCGAATTTGACGATCCGCTGTGTGCGCTCTTGGCAGTGTCGGGCACGGTTTGTGGTGACGATGCGGTTGGGTGACCCTGGATACTTGTGTCGTCGGTTGTAGCAGGCGTCGCTCAAGTGTCACGCGACGAACAAGCGCTGTAATTTTCCACTCAATTACGAATTTGACTTCCGAAGGATGACACGTGTTCCATTTTCGACCTTCACCGCTAGTCCAGCAGCTCTCTGGCGGCATCCTTATTATTATTTTTCTTCTGGGATCAGATCATGCCCTTCGAGGGCAGACCACTGATCCAAGCGTCACTTCACGCGTGCGCTACGGCAGCGCGTGATCTGGTCTAAGGAGGTGCATTACTGTGCCTCAGTCTGAGACTACAATATGCTTCCCATTTGTTGTTTGGGCAGTTCACCCCGTTTCGTTCAGGCGAGGGGATTTCAGTCGAAATCACCTAAGTCATTCCCGTTTTCCTCTCCTCTTTTCGTGTGATTCGGGTCCCCTGTGCCCATCCCCACTCTCTCATCGCAGTGCGGTCCCCAGCGTCATTCTACCCTGAAGGTCCCGACCTCGTGTGAGGGCAGCGACAACTCTCTTCACATTTCCAATTGTCCGCTTACGGTTTCTTCGCATCTCGCCCCGTACACGGGCTCTCGATTGACCTCTTCCATGGGGACCTGAAACTCGACTGCATCTTTCCGCACTCTCTTTTTCGTCGATTTGACACCGCCCCTCTTTTCCCGTTCTCCTTTCAAATTTTGTCACGCTTACTCATTTCTGCCGCCATCTGGTAGCGACTCCACGCTTCCTAAATTGGAAACGGCCCCTCGATCAGCCGACCGCGTGAACTGCCTCCCCCTGGTAGGCTGGGCTTGAGTCCTATCATCAGGCTTGTTCCATCGTATAATTCGTTTCCCTTTCGTCTCGAAGCACCACGTAATAGCTTAATCACGGTTGTCGAATGGCACTTCCCCTTGATCGTAGACGTCCGGCGTATTCGCCGGGAAGTCGTGCGCTTGCTCGGGGGTCACCGACCGAAGTGCGGCGCGTGGGGAGAAAACAAACAAAAGCAAACCAAATAAAACGGAACGACACAGAATAGCGAAAAAGAAGAAAATGGGTAAGTAAATCCTCGATGAGGATGTTAGTCATTGGAGAGCTCGCGTTACAAAACGGGTTCGTTCCGCAGGGTAGCCGTCGGCTCGTGCTTCGCATGGTCTCAATCTTAGCAAAGAGAGGCGAATGTTCCCTGCGTGTCTCTTTCGACCGGAGTCAGATCGTAGCTTTGGCGCGGGGTCGTTTTGAGCTTGTGCCGTCGGCTGTGGGCGACGGCCAAAAAAACATTTCCTTTTGAATCTCATTACGCTCCTAGAGGGTGGGCTGTTAATTGCGACTGTCCTTCTTACGTGCCTCTCTCGATTGTCGTGCGAGCGGCTCCCACGAGGCCATATGCTTCCTCCCAGAATACAGTCTCACGTCGATTTCTCGAAAGCACACCGTGCTTCAATCCCTTCTCGCCAAGGGACCCTGAGGTAAGACCTCCTTTCTCCTCTCGCTTCAATTTTCCTCATTTTTTTTGTGGGAGGGATCTACTGTGTTCACCTCCCTTCCCTCGTCAATCAGTAGAGGATCATCGCCTCTTCAATGTCCTCCTTGGACTTCTTATAGACTTGCTGACCGACCTCCGCGGTGCAGGGTCGTGTCCCTAACGTTTCAAAAAATTAAATTAAATAGAACAACACAAAAGCAATCACAAATAAAAATAAAAACGAAACCGAACAGTTATGAAGGTAAGTGTGAAAGGGGTGGATCATCCTGTCCATGTCCCCGTTCTTTCAGCGTTCTTTCTTCGCTTGGCACACCGTTACGCGACTTCCAACCTGAGTATCTCATCACGACGCTCATCCTACTCGTGCGCGCGCTGCTTCTACTTGCGGGGGGGTATCTGAAGGCCCCTCACCTGGTTCGTTCCATCTCATAGTTCCCCTTTTCTTGACCCTCAGGTCGGCTCGCTCTGCCCAGGGCGGGTTACTGCACTGACACTGACATGTGAGATTCTTGGTTACCACTATCCTGATTTCGCTTGCGCGACCTGCGCGGGCAAGGATAGTCTTTTCCGTCGGAAATACGTGACGGCCGCGCTGCGGGGCAATTACTCGATGGGTTCCCACGTTGCGTCCTTGAGGGTATACCCATACCATCTCACTTTGAGAATTAATTTCTCCCCGTCGTAGCCGTGGTCCACGATCTTGTCGATCACATACTCCTGACTCCCAGCTCCTTCTTCCTGCGTGTCCAACTCTCCGTCCCCCTTCCGAAGAGCCAGCGACTCATCCTCATCCTGCTCTTCCGAACCTCCCATCTCTTGTAGATCGGGCGAGATGCCCGCAGCTTCTTGATTTATCAGAGGTCCGTCATCCGTCCTATCCTTCGCTTGCGCGGCGGGTTCTTCTCGTTCCCCTTCTCGGTTGAGGAATTGTAACGCTTGTCGTAGCCGGACTATCGGCGTGTAGCCCATGGGACTAGGGGCTAATTCGACTCGATCTCGCGACACGCGCTCTTCCTGGTCGCCGATGGCAATGACGACCGTATTCTCAGTTGACTCCTTCACTTGATATGGACCCGTAGCCACTTGTGCCAACTTATGTTTCGGCTCGGTGGCAGTGCCTTGCTCTTTCCGAAGGAATACGTATGATCCTGAAGGGATGTCATACTTCGACTTGCGGAGCCTTGCGTCGAAATTTCGCTTGTAGCGCGCTTGTTCTTTCCGCAAGCTCTTACCAGCGCCTTTTATCAGGCTTTCCAACCACGACTGCCATTTCAGGTAGTATGCTCGATTCGAGCTAAATCCTTCCAAACTTGGCTGTGCTTGTAACGCAATGCTTCTCGGCGCCCGAGCTAACACCAGCTCGAAGGGCGCGATATTCGTAGTTCGATGAACTTGCGTGTTGTATGCGAACGTCACAGCGTCGCTAAATAGGTCCCAGTCCTTGGGATGCTCTCCAACATATTTTCGCAACGCGGAAGTCAGCGTGCGGTTAAACCTCTCAACTTGGCCGTTGGATTGCGGGTGGTATGTAGTCGTGAACACATTGCATATGCCGAGAATTCGGCAGACGTTCTGAAAGAACCGGGCCGTGAACTGTGTTCCATTGTCGGACAGCAGCTTGACCGGCGGTCCGTACACGAATACCAAATGGTGAACGAAGGCTTGTGCGATGTACGCAGCTGATATCTTCTTCAACGGTACGGTTCGTACCAGTTTCGAGTATCGATCGCTGATCACGAGAATATACCGATTTCCTCGTTTACGTGTAATTTGCTCGCCGAGGATGTCGATGGCGACAAACTCCAGGGGGGCTTTGGGCGTGAACAGCTTCATTTCCTTCGTGTTTCTTCTTAACTTCACCCTTTCCCGCGCACATGCGGCGCAATTCTTCGCGACTGCGTAGCAGTCTAGGGCCATCGTGGGCCAATAAAAATATCTTCTCAATGTCTTGTAAAGTTTCCTGCCTCCCGGGCGTCCTGCCAATTTTGCGTAATGGCTTAACGATAGGACGCGGTCCCTTAACGATTGTGGTATCACCACTTGTGCAAACTCCGCCGCGGTACGGCATAGAGTTCCTTCGAATTCCTCGGTCTCCATGCTGAACGTTCTCACCTTTCCGGCATCCATTTCTTCCTTGATTCGGTTGCAGAAGGGGTCGACGGCTTGCTCGCGAATGAGCTCCTCCGGAGTGACACCTTGGAATTGATCGAGGCGATCAGGGGCGGTCTCCCCTCAAGAGCGAGGATGTCGTCTAACGCGTCAAAACTGTCCTCGTCCTCCACTGTTCCCTCGGCCGGTTCGGCCATAAAGCATGGGATTTCGTCGTCGATTTCGTCGACAGTTTCTTCTGCGGTCCGTAATCTTGACAGGGCATCAGCTTGACTATTCGCCTTGCCCTTCTTGTACTTGATTTCGAAATCAAATTCCGAGAGGCGGAGCCTCCATCGGATTAGTCTCCCGCTGGGGTCAGTTACGTTCATCAACTGCCTCAATGAGGCATAGTCGGTATGCACAACGAAGTGCTCGCCATATAGATATGGTCCTAAAGTCTGTACGGCCCAAATTACCGCTAGACATTCTTTTTCTGATACAGAATAGTTTCTCTCGGCTGCAGCTAACGTTCTTGAAAAGAACCGGATGGGTTTACGTTGCGCATCCGGATGCGTTTGAAATAATGCAGCGCCGATTTGATAGTCGCTTGCATCGGTGTCTACCGAGTATGGTAGGTCCTTCTTCGGCAGCGCCAACACCGGTGGCTCCAAGATAGCGTCTTTGAGCTTATGAAAATCTTTTTCGCATGGTTCGTCCAATCCTTCCAACTGGAGCAGTTGTCCTTTCTTCAGTAGTTGGTTTAGAGGATGCTCAATTTTCGCATAATGCGGAACGAATCTGCGGTAGACATTACAAAGTCCCAAGAAGCTCCTGAGCTGGGTCTGCGTTTGAGGGTACCTCACTTGTTCCAATGCCGCGGTTCGCGCGGCGTCAACTTCCAATGTACCTGGCCGAACGACACGGCCCAGGTACTTGATCTTTTCGACGAAAAATTCGCACTTGCGAAGCTTGAGCTTCACACATGCCTTTTCCAATACAGACAGTATTTCGTCAACGTGGACGACGTGCTCCTCCCAGGATTTGCTGAAGATGATGATATATACCAGACAGCATTTCCAGCGGAACGGAGAGAGCAGGATATCCATGGCTCTCTGAAACGTCGCTGGCGCGTTGGTAAGCCCGAGGGGCATTCTTCAAAATCGGTAGAGACCTGAGTGACACGAAAAGGCTGTCTTGTCGCGGTCCGCTTCCGGAATAGGCATCTGCCAATACCCTGAAATCGCGTCCAACGCGGAAAAGACCTTGGTGTCTCCCAACGAGTCCAGACACTCATCCATGCGCGGTAAAGGGTACGTGTTCTTCACCGTTACCGGGTTTAGCCTGCGGTCGTCTAAGCAAGAGTGCATCGATACGTCCGGCTTGGGCACTAATAGAACGGGCGACGCCCATTCTGACTGCGCCGGTTCGATGACTCCTGCTTCTAACATCTTCTGTACTTCTGCGTCCTCGACCTCCCGAGCCTTTGGACCGGCTCGGTAGGGAGCTTGTGCAATTGGCCTTGTATCCGGGGCCAGTTCAATCCGGTGGACCGTAGTGTTGATCTCACCAAGGGTCCCATCCCACATGTGGGATTATTTTTTTAACATCCGACGGAATCTTTCGCGCAACCGGTCCGGCACGTGGCTCACGTCGAGCTCCTCCACGTCCGGCGGGGGAGGCTCAATCCACCGCTCCGGCTTCGTAGTTGCCGTCGCGGAGAGCCCTTCCTCCCGTTCTCCTTGCTGGTCCTCGCGATCTTGTTCCGACGGTTCGCATCTTCTCTCGCCCGTAGGCGGCGGGGTACAATTAGTAAATTTTTCCTCATCCCTTTCTTGAATTCCAAGTACCTCACCAATGGTGGTTTTGCTCTTGAATACGGCCCTCGGGTGCGGTAGTAGTTCCGCTACCACTTGGCCTTTTTGAACCCTGACAGGGTAATTTCTAAAAATCGCTACAAGCAATCTAAAAGGTTTGTCAGGCTCAATCTGAACTACACCGTTGGTGCTTACCAGTCCGTGCTTGTCGTATAGGGGTGCGTAGGGTTGAACGACGACCAACCCAGTCCTCTTCGATGTGCATTCGACTACGTGTTGCGTCCCTGGCTCAATGGTCGTGGCTCTTGTCACCTTCACCCTGGGGGAAACTCGCTCCCCTTTTGCATCAGTCTCGCCCTCTCCGGGGACCAAATGTTTCTTCGACTTCTCGCCGAGAATCACCGTACGATCGGAACCTCCGAGAAATCCACCAACTCAACTGTCCTCTTTCGTGGGTAGATAGCCTCCACGAACCTATCGCAATAGTCCGCTCCTAGAATTAGGGGGAGTGCGAGTTTTTCACAAACTATGAATTCGGCTGAAGCCACGAATCGTCCAAGTCTCACAGGCATTTTGAGTGTCCCTAGAGTTCGGAGTGGCCTGTTATTAGCATCGCCGATGTCTTGGGTCGGTCCGAAGGACACAAGAGTTTCCATTCCTGCGGGAAGCTCAGATCTCCGGATGAGATTAGGTCCCGCGCCGGTGTCCAACACGGACAGTACACGGCTCATCAATCTGACCGTCGGTCCAATGTCCCCGAAGACTTTGTAGTTTTTCCTGGCAAGGACCAAAATCTTCTCGGGACATTCCCCGCGCTTGACCCTGTACCAGGGGCGTCGGACTCGCTCCAGCGGATCGTCCTTGCCTCTTCGCAGAATCTTCTTGACCCGAATGGGTCCTTTCGGGTTATCGATGATTCCAACTGTCTCCTCGTCGTCGACTGCCTCCTTCGCTAAAAGCGGGGAAGGGAACTGGGTCCCAGACATGGTTCGTCGGACGCATGTCTCTCTTTTCGAATTATTTGAGATTCCCCCCCTTAGTTTTCCTGTCGCTGCGGATTTCTTCTCCAGTCCGACGACGGCCCCGCGGCCGGCCTTTCTGATGTTCGGTTAGAACCTTCGGCAGAGGCACTCGGTGTGCTCCCCGCCTGCGATTCGAACCATTGTTTTACCTTCAGGTAACTTGTCGACGGGATTCCCAACCTCTCCATCGGGGAGAGCACCTCGTAGTTCTTCAAAACTCGGGGCATCTCTCGGAACGACAGCAAACACGTAGGCGCTCCGTGCCCCTTCTCGTAGCAATGGTAGCATACGAGGCCATGCTTCTTCGGAGAGTACGGCGACCTTGGCGGTCCTCGGGCCGTCAGCCCGCCCGTCCAGCCCGGTCTTCTGAAGGCCGTACCCTTGTCTTCCATCGGAATTCTTGGCGCTGGCGTGTGTCCGCGCCCTCGAAACGCTAACACGGGATCCGCGGCCTCTGTATACGATTCCGTCGTATACGTGGGCGTCTGTAGCGTAGACATCCCACTAGCCCCGTGCTCCTCGTCTCCATATTCCTCGGAGGGGTCATAAAATCGCCCTCGGCGACCAGTGCTCCTGCGTATCCATTTTCTTCCTGATCAACAGTACTAGGTCCTCTGGACGCAGACAGTGAATCGGCCAAGTGGACAGCGCCGCGGGGTTTTCGCGTGGGGTGCGAAGGCTTCTGCTTCCCCCCCGTCCTTAACGTCGCTGGCGCTTGGATGGTGACTCTCCTAGTCTTCCTCTCCTTGGCGCGGCTCGCCGAGCCATGCGCCCTGGCGTAATTAACTAGTCTCAAAAACGAAACGTCCAGATTGTCTTGTCGGTATTGAGATACCATCGGCTTGATACTCGAATCGAGTCCTTCAATAAACATCGTCATTTGTTCTTCCATCGAATATACGTTTCCACATCGATTGCTCGCATCCGTCAGACAGATATAAAATTCCATCTCGTCTTCAGACGGTAGCTGCTGTACTTCCCGTAAAACGAGTACGGCTTGGCGGATTGCCTCATCGGTGGCGAAGCTTCGCAATAGCCACTGTACGGCCTCCGGCCAGACGGATATTTTCCCATGGTGGGACCCCGCCGTTTGTGACACCGAAGTGTACTGTCTCAGGGCGATTCTGCTGAGGAACTCCTGTAGCAAGCGGATCGCTTGTCCTTCGTTCATCTCCTGGGTGTCGAATTCTTGGACTATCTTAGCTAAAAAGTCTAGAACTAATACGCTATGGTCTCCTGTGAACGTATTGTCTCTCTTCACCTTTGGTGGTATGTCTCTTCTGATCTTTCGCACGGCGGTCCGCCGCTTGCCCGACAAACGTGTCTGCGGGTTCCGCAGGCGGTAGGTCCTGTACGAAAGAAACTTCTTGAAGAGGTGGTTAGTCGGATTTAATTCCTCCAACTCCTCCCATCGCGGTCCGCCCCGCGTCGCGATGTGTTCTGGCTCCGTTTCTTGATCTCTCCGCGAGGCGGACGAAGTGACTCCGCCTCTTTTGGAGCTCTTCTTATTTGACGAAATTCCATTCCCTTCTGTCGATCTTCCGTCGGAATTTCTTGAATGGTTCGACGAGCCGTCGTCACCATTTTCTTCTGAAGCATTCGACTCCGAATTTGAGTCGCAATTTTCGCGGTCGTCACTACAGTGACTTTTCTTCTTCTTTCGGCCTTTGGCCGACTTGGGGCTCTTCCACTTGGAATCCCGGATCCGAACTGACCTGTCCTTCTTCGTTGGACTGTCGAATTCTTCTCCGTCGGAGAGCGGTCCCGCGTCCAAACTTGGTTCGGCCCGGCCTGCAGCTTGCTCAAGGTCCTTGAGCCGCCGCGAAGCGCGGTAGAACCGGTCGTCGGTGCTGTCCCTTGTCTTGGTCAGCGTTTCTAGGGCCTGATTCGCGTCTCGCCGCGCTTCTTTCGCGGCGAGCTTTAGCGAATCCAGCACTTCCGGATCTCGGCCCGGGGATGCATCGGTACTTAAGTTCTCTACGAGAACCACACGAGCGGTCAGCTCTTCAAGGGCAGCGTGGAACTCGGATTTTTGCAACTCCTGTTGCTTCTGAAAAATGCCCAGATGTTCGTCGAACTTGCTCTTCGTCTCCTGACGAATCTCCTCGCTCAACTTTTCGAACTTCTCTTCCGGGCCATTTTTCTCAACGGCTGTCCCCGAAGGGGACGCTTGTGCAACTGGATCAGTAGCCGAATTTCCTTCGCTTCGTGTACGAGGTCCTCGCGGAATCCTCGACTCTTGAGCTGATCCAGCCCTTCTGACCCCAGGACCGACGTCCTTGGGTTGGCTTGATGCCATGCTCCGCTCTTAATAAACGAGACCTATCGATCTAGTTTACCTATTTCCGACTTCTGATTTCAGTTCCAGATTCTAGGTCGGGCTTCGTAGTTTCCAGATTCTAGGTCGGGAGACCACTTATGTAGTGCAATGTGCCTGTCAGGCCGGAACCAGGGTCCAACGGTCCAGCGACAACACAACCAACAAACAACAACCAACAAGAGTTGCCGACGGCACAGCCCTACGGAGTGTCCGATTCTCCCTTTCCCTTTAAGTGGGTTTGCGGCCCACAGTAGCTCAAGTCCCTGACAGGGGGGGGAAAGGAAGAGGCCCGCCCCGGGACGGATGGTGGTAGAGTCTTGTACAGGCAGTTGCTCGGCGAGTTCGGGGCGGAAATTAGGAAGCCGGGCCCGATGGGTCGTAAATACAATGCTTGCGAAGCGCCTGTTACACCTTATACCCTTGATAAGGTCTTCGACGGGGGCGTCGCAACACAGGCCGTCTGGAATTAGCAAACACGTAGCAGCGCTACACCTCCGTACTGCCCGATGGCAAAGTACCGACACCGGATCGGTCGCAACCGGTATCCGATGGAACCAACACTGTCCTGTATACACAACAGGACCTTCGAGGGAAACGTCGTTCCAACAGCCTCCGTCGGTGAACGTAAACAAGTACCAGCGCCACACCCACGTGTCGCCCGATGCCCAAGACACCAACACCGGTCCGGTCGCAACCAAAGCCGATGGCACCAACAACAAACAAAAGAACCAACACAAGAGCCCGATCACTCCAGTCGTCACAATGCGGTTCGCAATCAGGCACTGTGGAACCAACACAAGACAAGGGAATAGAAATAGAGATAGAAATAGAAAAGGATAGGTGAAATAAAGGAAAAGGAACCCCCGAGCGCAAAGCATAACGAAATCTATGGTAAAAGAGAGCGTCTTGGGAAAGACGGACTTCGACCAAGGCGATATTCAACTCTGGCAACTCGGGTTACCTTTACTGACTTGGTGGTCAGAGGGCTAAGGTAT